ATTGGGGATTCCACGTAGCCGATGCAGCACGCCGTGGAGTCACCATGTGTTCTGCCCTACCACCTTCTCTTGCCTGCACCCTATACTGGCGCCATGTCCCATTGCCACCCCGAGTAAACCTTAGGGTCTCCGTTCCTTGTGTCTCCCACTTCATCCCTCTTGCCTGCACCCTCTACGTCCACCCCGTCTACACTGCCATGGCCCCGTCCCTGCTGCGTCCTCCAGCCCCTTAACATCCACATGGGGGTTCCACGTAGCCGATGCAACACACCGTGGAGTCACCATGCCCTCTGTCTGCCCCACCCCCTTTAATATCTCTAACGCTTACCCCCTCCCTGCCCCCTCCTCTCCACGTAGCCGATGCAGCACCCCCTCCTGCCCCCTCCTCACATTGGGGATTCCACATAGCCGGTGCAGCACGCCGCGGTGTCCCCATGTGTTCTGCGCTACCACCCACGCGTCACCATGCCTTCTGTCCGCCCCACACCTCTTTTGTCTCCCTTCCTGGGGTCGGCGGCACTGGGCGGCAGCCCTTAAATAAGGAACCGGGGCTTTATATAGTGACCAGCTTTATAGTCTTTGGAACCACCGGTGACCAGCTATATATAGTGGTAACTGGATACTGGGATAGCTGTACATCCTGGAAGGATCCGGAGTGACACAAGAGGAAACTGAATCGATGGTACCCAAAGGCTCATGGACCCGAACCAACTGCTAGATGGCTGGCGCCCCGACCTGAAAAGAGTCAGATTCATGTAGGAAAACATCCTATGGATCCACATTCATAATTGGTATAAGAACATATCCTATGGATCCAAACACCCTCTGAGAGTACAAACACTTTTATGTAACCTTGGAGGGTCCAGTTGTACCGAACCTGAGAAGGTATGTAGATCCCTATATAGGGATAGCTGATAAGTGACTTTGGGGATGCTTTGGGTAAGTTTCATCGAGGTGTTTGGGACAGCCCAAGAGTGAAGCCAAGGAGCGAAGCTTGGGCTCTTCACGAATCAGTTCCAAGGTTCCATCTGGCATCGCCCGATGGAAGGCAGGCGTAGAAGAAGGATGGGAAGCACCATGACACCATAGACCAACTGCACAACCACCACAGGCCCCACTGTCACCAACAAAAGAGAGCAAGGGCACCACCACCACCACCACCACCACCACCACCACCACCACAACCACAACCCCAACAGCGACGACGACGAGGAGGAGGACGAGGACGAGATCCTCACAGCATAACACAAAAAAACAAACACAACATAGTAGTAGATTAAAGATGAGTTAAGTATATTTAAGTTCTAGTGCGCAAAACCTTGGGGCACTTGAGCTGGTCTCTGGATCGTTCTGGATCACCTGACTGTCACCTTCCGATCTCCGAGTTCCTTGAGCCGATCTCAGTGTCAGTCGAGGTCGGTGCCTTCGCCAGCATTCCTTGGCCAGGCAGCGATTGGGGGGGATGTGAGTTCGTTTGGTCTTCGACGCCGGAGCTGCGACTGCGAGGTGGACGCCATGGGGTCCCTCCTCCCCATCCAAGACAACCAGAAATCCCCGCTATGCTTCCCCGAAAATTTGAAAGGCCCAAAAGGCGTTTGTCATCTATCTACTAATACTGATAATTGTGTTCTGTCTTGGTCTCGTTTACATAATAATATATCTGCAAAGGGTCAGAACTACCACAGTACTTTCCATTGAGCTCCGAATGGTTCCCTGTTTCAAGGGGCATACCGATACACCCAGCGGCCCTCAGTCGCTCCCTCCTAACCATAAGCCATAGTCTATAGTTATAGTTAATGTACAATGTAATATCAAATTTATATAGTATATATATATATCGATAGTAACTATATATTAATTGAACAAATACTATCTAACCACTAACCACTATATGTATAGATTATAATAGTATATATCATAATACACAGATTCAGTTTTTGAGCACTCCGTAGGACCACTGCCAAGCAGCGCCATCCTTGCTCGGAAGACTCCACCGCGCCATGGGACGCGGACCGGACCGGTGCGCAGGGGTGGACGGTTTGGAGCGAGGTTTCTTTGTGTTTGGAGCGAGGTTTCTTGGTCATGGTCGAGTTCAGTTCATGGGTGTGGAGAAACCACTCTTGCTGGAGAGTGGAGTAGCTTCACAAACTTGGTGAGAGGGGGTGGAGTGGATCAGAAACCAACGTCAGGGGGCACTTATATAGTAACAAAACAACGTAACGTTTATGAAGTCTGCCTCTTCAGGGTTTTGGGCGCACTGGGGTTGGGATACCATTTTTCCGTAAGCCCGGGCTCAGCTGCACCATTATCTCTTCACTTGGACCTCTGCAGCCAATGGCTGCAGGGGACCTCTCCGTGCGAATAACTCCAATGAGTTCCATCGATGCAGGGGGAACGTGCTTGGAGTTCATTCTGGTCACACTGGAGTATCACAACTGTTCGACCTATGCCTATAGCAGCAGACCACAGCAAACTCCACAACAAAGACGTGTAGTCAAGAACCTGACGTCATGTCGCAGACTGAGCATCTTTTGATCCCGGAGCGCGCGCCAGCGGAGAGCAAGCGTGCAAGCACTGTACACGGCCTACACTAGGATCATTGGCCTCCTGAGACTCTTCAAGATAGGCTCAAACTTGGGCACAGGCTCAAACAATCTTCCACGAAGATGGTCATCCAAATGGTTGTTTCCAAATTGCTTTTGACAGTCCAACGTCAGGGGATCTGACGTTAAAGGTAGATTCGTCTGACCAACGGGATGGCCGTTCGGCCCGGCCCGCGGCGATAGTGCAACACTCTGCACGGCGTTTGACCGTAGCCTGACCAGGACCGGATCATACCGAATGAATCGGATATCATGGTCCCCAAATAGATCGTGGGCGCGGTTTCCAATACATGTTTGAAAGGGATGTTTACTTTTCTGTCTATTTGGAGCCCGGTTGGACTAAAAATGGCTTATAGGTGTCAAACTTGCATCCAGTTGTCACTGCCTTGCAAGGCACGTGGGATATTCAACAGCTCGGCACATCAACAGTGGTTCAACAGCTCGGCAGAAAAGTTCGAGTTCACACTGGACGGCCTCGGGGTCCATGGGTCCATCACCCCCATCAGGCGAGTCGAAGGTCAGACTGAAGCCAGGCAGCCCCCACCCTCCGTCTCCATCCATCTCAACACCAGTTCACTGAACAACGTGTGTTTCTTCGGTCGCTGGCTCCGGCTCGGTGACGTGGAAGGAAGGCCGCGGGCCGCGCGCCTTGAGCGCGGCGCATGGCACAGATTGTCTGGTTGGTCTGGTCATCGGCCAACGCAACCAGCTGGTCCGTCTGGATTGGGCATGAGCATTGCATGGGCATTGCGTAAAAAGGATCAGGCTAGGACCATGGCGGACCAAGATAGCTCCCATTTGGGACTCCTGTGTCTCGTTGTCTTTTTTGGGACGGGCTATCTCAGGTAGCTCCTACAGTAGAGAGAGGCCTTCTGAGTGCAAATTCCCATTGACTAGTAAACCATGGCTCTCCGACCTGCTCCTCACAGGGCTTGGCAAAACGGTACGGATCCAAGCAACGAATTGCCATGCCATACATGCAAATAAACATGATCCCATGCAGTTCTTATAAACCAAGCCCTAAACAAGAAACGATTCTATGTCTATTTTAAAACAAACTAAGCCCACCCGTTGAGTTTCTGGTTCCTAAGGCCACATGCCTTCTGCGCGGCCAGCTGCACATGGTCCGACGCTGCCAGCATTCGCGTCTGAAACCAACGAGTTTGCAACAAGTACTGCGGGAACAACACGATGTGTTTATATTATATTATAAGCAACATTAAGCAACTCTGAGAATATCAAGGAACAAGTGCAGCAACTGGTCACAACTGAATGAGTTCCAGTCGCCACAAAGCTGGAACAAGCCCCTACAAAGTTTCAAGGAATACATAACATCAAACATACCTGGAGCCTGGAACACCCACTACCAAATTCTAGTCGTTTTGGACTTTTTGATCGACCATGCAAAACTATATCCGAAACCTATATGCCGGTGTCACAAAGGGCACTCCAGGGATTCCAAAGCGCATTGAATAAAAACACCAATGTTGCGCCAAAAAGTTGAGCGCCTGCGTCGTTTTGTTGATCGTTTGCGTTGTATTGTTGGTTGTTGTTTCAGGTGGTGCACACAACCGCGTTGTGTTTCTATACGTTTGTGTTGTGTTTCTAGTCGTTTGCGTCCTGTCGTTTAAATCTTGTGTTGTGTTCTTTAAGCGCTTTTTTGCGTCGCCAGGCTTCCACATAGCGAGAGTTTGCAGTCCTTGATCCTGTTTCGATCGTTTGAGCAGAACACCGTGCCATGCCATGTGGCGTCTCAAACCTTGGCACGAAACCAGAGCACCGGTGGATCCCTTTGGGGTTCCAGGTATTTCTAATCGACGTGAATCGTTTGTGTTGTGATACAACCCAGACGCTCCATGGGACTGCCATATATGCCTACATTGGGGTGGTTTGAGGGGGGGGCAATGTAGGCATATATTCTAGTTATTCCATACATGGAGTGTATGGGCAAAATGAATCAGTGCACATCTTCAAACACTTCCTCTTCTCAACAAGCTGCTGACTAGCGCGACATTGGGTTTCATCGCAGCACCAAATCGCCGCTGTGACGAATCTGCTCAGCCGAGTGGGTACAGGGCAAAAAGAGTCGATCAGAATGAACCGGAGAACCGTATCATCGATGGATGTCCAAGCTATCTACAGCGGTTTCAGAGGTTCGATGGCACGTGTCAGCCGTATACATGTCTTTACAAACAGATGGGGGGTCCATGTAAACCGTCGAACTTGGGGATTGTGCCAGAAAAACTCTCTGTCCACTAAAGAAGACTGAGTCAGATTGAGCAAAAATGAGATCCAAGGGTTTTGACACACTAGAATATGCTCTCGAAGGAAGGAATTCTTGATGAGTGATGCTCTTGCTTTTCTGGCTCACACACCCCGTATCCTCTCAGCACATCGGATACAGCGCCGGCCTGATGGTTCAAACTAAAAGATGTGCTCTCTATGTACAAGGCGCGAGGTTTCATTGAGAGGAATTTGCCACAGTCTTCGCAAGCACTGTTTCGCGGACTCATAGAGTTGAATATTGTCGGCTCAAGCGTTCAAACAATTGCGCAACACCGCCCCTTGGTAAACCTTTAAACCAAGGTATACCTTTAAACCCCTTGGTACACCAAGGGGGTAAACCGGGAGGCATCAAATAATGAAGGTAAACCTTTAAACCGCCCCACACAGCAATGCGTGGTATCGATTATCTACCAAAGCCCACTAGCAGTGTAACGCCCGTATCACCAAGCCCAAGCCCCAAAACTGCAAACATACTACATGGCGCCAATAAGTACGGTAAAAGGATATTAGCAATGTAAACTAGGCAAAATAAACAACACACTTAGATTCAATGCATCTACCAAGCAACTGCTCAAACATCTGGTTGAACCCTGATTCCTGCATGGATTATCATGGTGTGTTTCTGCGACATTCTTTACATTGTTCACCTCCCATGTCCTCAGCCGCCAAGAACTTGCGAGGCGTTGTGGAGAGGCTGCATCTGCATCTCTTGTCCTCAACCGCGCCAGTGAAACAACTCCCGTTGATCTTCACACAACTCTGCAAACCCTCCCAGCTCCCTTGGTCCCTCCCCGCCCACCCAGTGTCAGCATCATTCTCCACCCATCTCCGCTACATCGATGGTGGTCTGCGAACCATCACCACCTTAAGGGGGAACTTCAGCACCTCCTTCATCCTTGCAAGACATCAGCCAAATTGATCACGTTATCCCCCGCCAGGCACCAACCAACTACCACTCCACCCACCTATACAGAAACCTTTCGACCCCGATGGAAGCCGCTTCCTTCCCTCCGCTTCGGTCCTCAGGAGAACAATCGCTTCGTCCCCTCCAAGGCCGTGGAGGCCGCTGAGGACGCCTTCTGCCGCAGCTGCTGCCACGCTTCGGGACCCACGGCAATCACCTGCCGCCGATCGAACAACGCCACGCGCGAAACCGCGAAACCGCGCCGCTCGCGCCACCCGGTGCCGAAACAAACGGACGAAGGAGCAATGGAACACCGAGGGGGTTCAGGGAGGAAAGGTGTTTCGTTTTGATCTAATATATCTGCGGGGTGTGTGAAGGGTTAATGCTGCCACGAAAAAGGATGGAAAGGACCAGTAGCCTAACTCGAACACTAATTCCTCCCTCCAAAGGGTTTATTGGGACCTCAGCGACCTAAGTGGTCTCAATTTGTCGAATTTTGTCATTTCATATACGGCACGGGTGCTTTCCCCTTGACCAAACCATGGGAATTCAACAAAGTCAAATAGCTGGACGACACCCCTGTCACTACAACATCTTTTTGCTAACCTCTTTGTGTTTCTATTTCATTCTATTTCTTTCTTTTATATATATATATATAGTCTGTTACGGTCTTGATGTGCCTTGATTAATTAATGTTGGGCCTTTATTTCATCAAACAATCACGCTTATTCTGGGATCACCCACCCAATTTGCCTCAATGGTCAGCTTCCCGCTCCTTTCCGTCTGACACCCGCTCCGCCTCGTGGGCCGCGTTGCGGCTCGTGGTCTTGGCCACCGTCCACGCTTTGGAGACCGCCTCCGCCGGCGCGCGAGGCCAGCGCCACGCGTGAAAGCAGTCGGTGTGGGTTCTTGGTTTGGATTTCGCGATATGGATCGAGTGACCAGACCGGTCATGGTCAACATCCGATCCAATGTGGCCTCAAGACTTATAGTGAGATGGGGCTGAATGGTTGTTGTAGATGACATTTAATGCTAGAATGATTTGGGAAACAGTTTGGTTTTGTTCTTTGGATCACACTCAAAACACTACGATGGCTGATATAATGGAAACACTAGGCTTGCACATGAAAGTAGCGTGCAATCCTGTGGAATGCTTATGTTTCGGAGTGTGGAATGCTGGTGATTGTAAGTACAAGGTTGTGAGGCACGAAGAACTTAAAGCCCAACACAACACAAAAACATGCGCAGTAAACATCCGAGGTATGGCATAGATAAAAATCCACGACTCTGAGTATCACAAACATATCCCTGTGGGAAGCATATCATCTTCCAAGCAAGCTGCCAGGCAGCATTGGAGCAACAAGCAAGTACATGTGTTCACATCTCTCCACACCAAGCAACCAAGCTCGACCTCAGGCTGACCTCAGGCTCGACCTAATTATGTGTTGGGTCGGCCAATGTGGATGCTCATTGATGGGATTGTGGCCAAAGGGCCACAGGGAGGTAGGTAAGAAGTATACCGTATACCCGTCTTCCAACTGAGTACATGCCACAAGCGACTCTGAAATAAGATCAAAAGCAGGAACCGCTTTTAGGTCAGATGACACAGGTTTCCACAAGCAAACTAACAGTTCTCTCAAACCAATGCCGCCAACGAAAGCTCAGAGACTTTCACCTCTTAACCGTGTGGTGTGCACCTTCCAACTTCACCACTGTGTCACTCCCGATGATCCGTATAGGTGTCTGATCTTCCAGCTTAGCTGCATGGTTGGTCCAGTTTCGGTGAACACCCTGTCACCCTTTAAGATTTGTACATACCATTAAATGGGTGAACGCTCTTCGCTCTTCGGCGCACACGTTATGGAACTGAGGATGGATGAACAGCACTGGGCGGAATGGATGCCAAACTCAGCTGCAAAACAGATCGAAAAGCAATGGCCAAACAGCTGACAACAAATTAATACTCCATGGATCTACATTGACCCTTAAAGACCCCCCATGTATTAAGCACATACTCCTTTGCAGCATGGATTGTTTGGGAAACAAAAACACATCATGAGTTGCACAGCAGCCTGCATTGTTTAAAACCAGCAAACTCAAACTGACGTATCTTCTTCCCCCTTGATCGATCGTGAACAAACCATGGGCTTTGTAGAGAACAGAAACAAAACAACCCCCAGCTCTGCTACTACACTAACGAAGGAAAGGGTCAAACAAGTTAAAGGGCCACTGGCACACTTCCATCATGCAGGCTAACCATTCAATACCACATGGCTCTCACTATTAAATATTGTCTCTGTTTCTCTAAAGATCTCTAAAGTCACTTTTCCCTCCCTCCCCCACGAGAAAAAACCAACACCACCGACCGGCGACCCCTGCATCGCCCCGTCGCCACCCGGGTGCCCGAATGGACCCCCCCCACCATCGAACCGCCGCAGCGATCAACCGGAGCGGAGGCTCCCGACCTGGGTGGTCTTCTCGCCCAAACGGAGGCCTTTGAGCTCGTCGCGCAGCTGTGCTCCTCGTCCGAAAAAAACAAAAAAACACCGGTCAAACCCGTGGGGTCCAAGTGGGTGGAAGCAGTGGCCAAGTGTGGCTGTGGCCGTGGGTGGAGGCACCAGATATCACCAGATGACGGTTGACGATTGATTAGAAAAAAGACAATATCCGTCCGGGCTACACGGACCAATCTGAAGACTCAAGGGGCCATGATTGGTGCGATCAGTGCGATCCCGCCGGTTTTCCTTGGATGAGTTCGTTGTTTTCGGGGAGCTTCCGAGCGCCGGCTGCTGGCTAGCAATTGGCTACTTGGGAGTGCCCGCTGTGGGTGGTCGGTATTTTCTCACGAGTTGTCGGCTTCTTGTTCTTCGTACAGCTAGTCGTTGAGATGAGACCCGAGCGTCCGCATGCGTTCCACGGCGGCCGGCTGCGCTCGGATGATCAGATTCTGAGCGGGATGAGGTAGAGAGTGGGGAGGCGTCGTGGATCGTCCGCAAGTCCGTGCATCCAAATGGGGTAGGTTTTTGTTCAATCATAATCCACAAACATGATGCTATATGGGTGTTCCGGATGCGTCACTCACGGCCGTTTTTGGTCTACAGATCTCTATAGACATGCTGCTCCGAGCAGACGCTGCTTGGAACACGAAGACACCTCCATCTTTGCCTTTCTTGGGAACGAAGACACCTCCATGTCGACGTCCCTCGGAACCGGAACCCAGCCACCTCGCGCGTTTACGCGAGGTTTTGCCAACGTTCCAATCACGCAACTGGTCAACCCGCTCCCTCGGCGTCCTCGCTCCATCCGCGTGCAGTGCTGCAAGAGGGAATAAATGAAGCGCTCAGCGCTAGGCTCCGACCTTGGTCGTACACGGTGTGTCCCACTGTTCATCACCTGGTACATGTAGCTGCCGATCGAAAGCATGGCGGAAACAGAAATGGATGGAGGCCCGACTTGAATCATCTAGCTCAGCCTCTACTGCATCAAACCAAACCTCAAACAAAAACTGTATTATGCAGCAATGCAGAATACTATCCATGAACAACCCGTGTGACTCGACACCTGTTTCAAGAAACATGTTCAGTGGCGGCTGGTATCATTCAAATTCCATTAAGTGATACTATTGGTACCGGCTCAAAAAGGATAATAGCACCATCATATACCGCATATACAACTGCCCACCCACCTAAAACTATATATCTCGTCTATGTCAGCAGACCGTCTAGTTCTTCTCATGGCCATCGCCTCGATCCGCGAGCGCGCCGATCACAGCACAGCACCGAGACGCATGCCCGCTGCGCAGTTGCGGGCTACGAAGCGCTGCGCCTCTTGCCACAGCGAAGCGTTCTGCTGCCAGTGGCCCTTGAGAGCACTCCGCGGAGTGCGGAGCATGGCCTGGAAGGACTGGAAAGAAGACAACTCGGTAGGACCGATCGGGTTGGGGGTTGGAGAGGTTTGAAGGGTGAATTCGACGTATTCGATGAATATTTGAGGGGTCAATCATCTAGTCCCATGGAGTGTCTGCTTGGTAGAAGGGGTGCTGTATGTTTACTGGCGCAGGCTGGAGGCACCGGGGGGTGGGGTCTGCATGAAGTAATACCCTTGCCAAAAGCGTATGGCTCAAAAACGCACCTGAACTTACTGCATGGCAAATAATTAGATGCAAATAGGAACCTTGCACTAAAGTTGTGCGTTTCCGGGCTATTATAGTGCAAATCAGGACGATTCCAGAGTTGAACATGTACCTACATAGATGCCCATTGCTGCACCACACCCAGTTGTACAAGTTACAGTCGAGTTACATGAATGAATGTATGTCCGTCTGATTCAGGTTCTTCGTTTCTCTTCCTTCGAGACCTATCAGGATTCCAGGCGAAGCCCATGCGGCCGAGGGCACTGTGTAGAACATCTCCACCAAGAGCCCCGGATACTTCCGCACGCACAAGTAGGCCCGACAAACCACCTGAGTTGCTCACTGATTCCGTATGGAGCGCTGCAAGAGTCTTTCGGACGACATGGACCAAAGCCCTATAAGAATCCTGACCCGCCAATGGAAATGGTTTTGAGGGTGCAAACCCCAACTGGAGGGCTCAACCCCATGGAGTGCCCAAGGATTTTTAGGGAGACACTTGAGAACAAGGAATGCTCCTGAAGCAAAGGTCGTCTTCGCAGGGGACGGCGACCCAGCCTTTAAAGAAAGGAACATCCGGGTCCCGAATCGCATCTCCCAATCTGCTCTTCACAGGAATGTCAGTTCTGGTCCAATGATGTGACTTCAGTGAAGATGGCTATCGACGTGGCAGTTGCTGGGCGCTCAGTGGGGTCAAATCACCCCAAAACAAAGCAAACCAGAAACGACACCCTTAGTCACGAAACTGCGGGACTTTCCGAATGTTTGTCTTCCAATTGCTCCAGGGAACTTATATCAGTTACATTGATACCTGAAACAAGCACCCCAACTGAACATACAAAGGCAAGCACTCCATATATTGCATAGGCAAAAATTCAAAAGGTATCAAAAGGTGCTTTCTGATCAGAACGCATGCCCTACCCAAATCCTTTTGGAGTGTTCTATGTTCAGTCTAGTTACATCAAGGTCTATATGGGTTTCCAACCTAACCACAGCTTTGGCATGAACAGTTATCATCCATCATCGGGAACTATCCAACTCTTACTCCAACATGTCTTTCCTGACTCCCTCAGTGTTGGAAAGCCAGTTCATTATCAGTGGGAAAAAAGCAACTCGCTAAAGAATCCTAAAGAGGTTGTGCTTTTGCTCCTTTCCTGATTTTCCTGGGTCTGTTTCCCCATCCACCATCATTGCAGTACTTTTCTCAGCTCCTTCAGCTCTCCTCCCCCCCAACCACCGGAGCCTCTTGGAACCGAAAAGGTACGCCTTCTCCAGGGTCCGGAGACGACTGTCACCCGTCGACAACGCGGACCGCCACGGGCACCGGCCAAAAGATCCGCTCCATGAGCTCGTCCGTGACGGCCTCGATGAGCTCGTCGTATTGGATGGTGGTCGCCGGGCGGCCACCTGGAGCGGAGCTTCGTTCGCGAGCTCGCGCGCGCGAGCACGAGCTCGGTCAGTGGAGGCCGGGTGGTTGTTGTTTCTTCGCTGGACCGACAGTCGGCGCGGCGCGGTCACCGCGCGTGAGGTGTGTTCACTTTGGTGCCAGAGTCGTTGCGGGGTGACGGAGGTAGAGCTATTGGGAACCGCAGTGTTCGCCGGTGGGAAGGAGGTGGGGGGTTGACGAAGGAGGAGCTTTTGGAGGGAGTGTTTGTAGTGGGCATGGCGCTGTTCAGGGAAGTGTGTGGATTGAATTTTCAAATATATTAGGAAAAAGCATTTTTGGACCAGAATTTTAATATTATGACATGCTTGGTGGCCTTGATGACCAGAGTTACCCTCACCTTTCACAAAGGAATCCAAAGCCTAGGAAACACATGGACAGCCTATCCTGTTGTGAAGGCTAAACGGAGGGTGTGTGGAGAAAGGGGGTCAGCAAAAATCGCTTATACGAAGTTAGTGCATCAAAAATACCTTCCACGAAGTTCTGCGAAGGTTTCTGGGATTTCGTTGCAGTCAGTTCTCCTACTGGCCCACCATTCCACGAACTGTCCACAAACAGCCTTGGGTTCTACGAAGGTCACGCGCCTTCCACGCCGTTAGTAGAATAGGTTTTTGCAAAACCCTTTCTGTGCACTACCCTTCCGTTTGCCTTTGATGTTGGGGCCATTTCCGATCCAGAATGGGAACGGGAGAACAAGGGGATGACACGATCATGTCAAACACGTGTAGTTCAAACTTGAAACCAAGCACAAACCGCTTATACCTCTTTGCGGTTGCCCTCACTGCGCCACAAATGCACTGGTGCCGACACCTTGAACGGCGAAGTGAATCAGCATCGAATCCAATGGCTCCTTTCCAAGAGCATAGCCAAAATCCACGTGCACCTCAGTCAGCCAGAATCGGGGAAAGGTCTCAGTCAGCCAGAATCTCAGTCAACAAGGTTTGACCAGTTTCAGCAAGCTTCCTATGGTCTCCAGACTTGTCCAACTCTCTATCCGAAACTCAACCGCGACGGCCAGCAGCCAGTTTGGTTTGGACATGCAGCAGCCATCTTGGTGTCCAAAGCATATGGTGTCCATGTGCTTTCGCCGACTCCAAAGAGTGCTCCAGCAGGTCGGTTTGTTGCTGACCACACTCCCTGAAACACACATTGGACGTCCTGGCCCCAAACATTGGAGGATGATGTTCCGAATATCAAGTAAGTATAAAGGGTGCCATCCACTTCCATGCTGCATAGTTACTTATCATTACCATCTTTCATTGTCGGAAGGGTTGAAAACAAGGCCAACCTTGTCATAGGTCTTACAACCTCAGACTCTGGTCTTTTGGAGGCGCTTCTGTAGGGTTGTTCGGTTCCTAAGGCTTCTCCGGCTGCAAGTGTGCAAGTCTTCGAGAGGACACCGGGGAAGAGCCACCGGATTTGGGGTTTCCCGGATGCAACAAAAAGAGCCGGATCTGAACACAAATACAGATGTTCTCATGCTCGGTCATCTGACTCTCCAACCATCAGTATCCTCAATTCTCAGTCCGACTTCGCATGACCTCATTGCAAAAACCATCAAACACCTATGTCCTGAGTTTTGACGGTTTCACTTAGTGGTTTCTGTGAGTCGTTGTCCGTGTTACGTCAGTGTCTTTGGAAGATCATTTCATAATAGTTCAGTGACCACGAAATGACACGCGCCCCAGTGTCCATGTCTCCACATGGCTCAAGACTAAAATCCTTGGGTCTGTATTGAACTAGGGAGACCTCCCGGGTAACGACCCCCGGCCAGAAGGAAAATGGACCAAAAACCCTTGGTTGCAGGTCTCCCTATAAAAATATGCACACACCCATATTGGCCACTCCAAGCAACATGGTACCAGTAAGGAAGTTTGCTACTGATTCAAGCAAAAATGCCACTTCCAGTGGCGTAGTCAGGTGATTCCATGGCCCAACCGCTCTGTGCGACCGTCATTCGACACGGTGCCAAGCGCCCATCGACGGTGACCATGAAGTTCTCCTCAGCGTTGGGTGCCGATAGGTCCTTGAGTTTGTAAAATAGGACACCTGACGTGCCCAAGCACACGTGACATTGATAGTCAGTGCGTAGGGAACTCCCTGTTTCAAGGGGAATATGATATACACCGGCGACCCCTAACCACCAGGCCGGCGGCCTAACGACCAGCCCAGGCACCCACTGGGCATCCAAGGCACATGATGACGATCCCCAAGCCCAGCCACGAAGCTGAGAACCGCCGAGATGGCTGAGGTGAAGGCCTTGGATTTGTCCAGGCTCCCGGGGAAAACAATGTATTTATCAACCAATGATCTCATGAAGGAACAGCAGGAAGGGAACCAACAGCTGTTTCGGACAGCTGTTGACCCAGTGGGACGTTCCAGATTCACCCAGTGGGGGACCATATGGGACCCATCACCCGATCAGCAAAACCAAGGGGCTAAGCGTGCCAAGGATTTGGCAAAATCATCGCCTCAGCCCATGTCCGACCGATTTCCGGAAATCATCAGGTTCCAGGTCCACCTATGGTCACCTATTGATTGTACACGACCGGGGTATCCCCTCCTATTCATCAACCAATGAAAAAGGGACGATCTATATAGCCTTATATAACATGCCTTAACCACATAGCCGGGGGTCACCAACAAAACCCTCCTTGACCATGGAAAATGAAGTTCAAGCTCCCAGGCTTGGCTCAGCCTCCCAGCCGGCACGTGGGTCGCCCTCTGACTCCCCCATCCATAGCTATGGATGGGAAGGAGTACACGGTCCACGCATCGGTCGAAGGAAGTCGAGCTGAACATCCTCGAGTTGAACATATGGATTCATATGGATTCGAGCGAGAAGGAAATCAAAACCCATCTGGGACAAGTGTCAAAGTTGGGCACGAAGCCTGCATTCGGGTCTAAACCGTCTCATAATTCTAAACCGTCTCATAAAGAAATAAACGCCCAATAGCAAAAAGTACATAAGACCCGATGAATGAGATCAAATAAACGAGCTGTTAGCTATATCAACAGCATCAGCAACGGTTCTCGTCCTGCCCCATGCATCGAGGTTTTCCCACGTCACGATGATCTGACAGTCAGTCAGATCTAAGATGGAAAGTATCCAACAGCTGGCCATGTGCTTTATTGCCTTGAGCTCTTGAGGATTGTTTTCATACATGGTCTTGAACTCCCCACGCTCCAGTCGGTACATGAAAGGTTTGTTCGCGAAGCAATGCTGTTTGGAATGTTTGGATGGAAGAATGAGGGACAGTTCAAATGCAATCCGGTGTGGGGGATGATGGTCAAGTACTGATAGAGACTGATAGATGTCCATCCTGCAGCCACCCTTCCCAATCCGTTGGATAGACTTGGAGTGCGAGCGCCGTTGTTACCCAGTCTTGATTGACTTTGGGCGGGAGGGAAGTCATTGGATTTCCACCGAGGACCTCAATCGTGTAGGGAGGAATGAGGGATGAGAGAATCATGGTACCTTGGTTAGGTAGACACAGATTTCAAGCCTGCTGCAACACAAACAGATCTCAAAGACTCCACAAGTTCCTTCTGGGCTGAGGATTTGTGGAGGTCCAAAGGGCACCCCGTGAGATGCACCGAATTGGCCGCATTGCATGAAGCATCCCAAGATGCATATTTAAGTTCCACAGTCTCTACTGTGGTCTGAGGGGTGCTTTGTGAGAAACATAGGTAGCGAGTAGTAACATACACTCCAAAACTGGCAGCCAAGTGGCGATTGTTGTTGAGACGCAAAAACGTCTTCAAAGTGCCCTTCTCCTTACTCTTCAAGATCTTAAGCCGCACAAAAATGCGTCAACATGCCGCAAACAACAGCAATGATCGAAGACAATTGAAGGCACGGCATTGTTTTCGGCTTGAACGTGTCCAAGTACTTTGCCCAGCGTCCCCATTGGTCATGAAGTACTTGGGCCCAAAGGGCGCAGATCCTCCATCCAGCCGCCCGGAGCGCACATACTTCAAGGTCCGCGCTCCATCAATGAACCTTGCAGGCAAAAAGCGGGGACTTTGATCACTTGTGCTGCAACCAGATTCTAGGAGTATCATATTGAACACATAATATATATATATATGTGTGAAAGTAAATTCAATTTAACAACTAATATACATCAATATACGTATAATTAATATGACTGGGATTGACTGGGATTTGATCACCCAGGACCCATGAGACTGGACAACACCCGTCGAAGCCCGTCGTCTGAAAATGTCTGAAAACCCCGCCCTGAACGTTTCTCGGGACTCATATGCCCAGTACCATGTCGCATTAGGGGTGATTCTCATGAATGTCAAGATAAGAATATGGATGGGTGTCTAATAACATATGACTGGGGGATTAAGTGATATATGACCCAGCCATATATGTTAAGTGATTCTCATATGGCTGGGGGTCTAATACCTTGGTTGACCTACCTCTCGACACCTTGCGACTGTCTGAGCATGGACCTGGCCACTCAGATGGATTCCGGGGAGATCTGGTACATAGTACATAGCCCTTCACAAACTGTAGGAGATAACTGTACAAGTGAAAGCGAAGGTCCCGCGCTGCTTGTGCTTTTGCGAAATCCTGGTTTCAAGCTCATTCAAGCTAATTATGAATTACTGGGATCGATACTAGTTGCAAATCCAGCTTTTTGCGAAATGCTTTACAGTACGACGGTAAAGAAAGCACTGATCATCTCGATGTTCACCGCTGGGATAGGCTTCAAGTGTGCCTCTACCTACAGCGGGATGGTTTCATCAGGATGGTATGGCGGTTTTCACCTGCATCTGCTCTGTGCAACACCGAAGCTTGGATGCATCGGATGGCGCCACAGGTCCCCGGTTCAGGATATGGCGAAAACCTGCAGCTGAGTATTAGTGCTTTGTAGGTGATCCAAGCGGATTCTTTTGATCCAAAGTGTGGAGACTGTTCGGATGATTCGCTTTGCGTTTTGACATCTGCACATTCGCTTCGGCGATTTCACCATGCAATTCCGTATGAAGGCGCTTCTCACTCTCCTGGTTGTTCTTGGTATCTCGTGTGAGAGTTCGAATTTGGCTCTTGATGGAATCAAGTTCAGCATGAATTTGATGAGACGATGATGAACTGGACTTGGCAGATTGGCTTCCTTGGGACCACGCTGATTGCCATGAATGAACGCAGTTTCTGCAATTCTAACCGCTCCTCCGTAAATCTTGATTACAGTATGCAAGCTGTACAAACTGAGAAAAGGCCTGCACACACGACATCCTGACCTACCTGAAAAGTCAAGCTATACATGGTGGACCATGGCTTCAGGTTTTGACTCATCCCCATATTGAGAAATGATCAGGTCTACTTCTGAGTGATCTTCAGGCCCAGGTCTACCCCAAGCAGACCTCCAATTCCTGTTGGGATGGGTATGGATGGGTGGTGAGTATTGATTGATCATATTAACATGAATATATACATATATATATATATGTATCTGTTTGGGGGGGGGTGCTCATCAGAGCTGGTTGACTCTCTATTGTTCATCCCAAATCCGATTGTTTCGGATTGTTTCGGCCACAAAAGTCGGTCGTAGCTGGGCCTGGTGGCCGAGGCTACCAGGCTCGTTGATACCGCCATGATGGTTTTTAGACGGTTGGATCACACAAGTCAGTGAACAAGAAAAAACGGCCTGATGGACTCAGGACTCACACCAGGCCTGATGGAGTCACAAAGGCAAACACTCGGCCTGGCTTGATGTATGAATATATGCATTGATCACAGGTCGAGCGCCCCAACTCATCTGCAAAATATGCATGAAAATATGCCGGTTTCACAAGGGGTCGTCTCCAAGGCACTCCAACATCGCAGTGTTGGGCCCAGTCATAGCAATGATGTAGGTCGCCCGGACATCTTCGAAGCTGAGGCCCTCGCTATTCAGCAACTCCTGCAACTTGGGATCCTGGCACACCGGCCACGGAGCTGGCCACGACGGCCGCCAGTGGGTTCGTTTGACTGGAGGAAAGTGGGATGAACCCATGGATTTCTCCATTCTTGAGCGGTGTTCAAAATTGTGTCATCATGTGTTGTCGTTTCATTGTTTTCACATGTTTTTCCCTGTTGCGGAATGGATTGGATTGGATTGGTGAAGTCCTCAGAACTTCAGATCTGGTGAATATATAGCCCTAGGGATCCAAATACCTTCTCAGAAGGTACTTGTACATAAATAGTCTCCAATCACCGTACCTCAGAAGGTATGTGGATCCATAGGGAAGTATATAAGGGTGCCATCAACAAGCAACCTCTAATTCTGAGTTATTGAAGATGTTTTCCGTCCTCTGTTGGAAGGTACCAGTACCAAGAATGCTACAGTAATGCTGGGGTTCATAAAGTTTTTGGTTTCAGCAAGTCAGCCCAGTCAGACAAAGCAAACAAGTCACACTTGGCCAAGCACGGTGAGTATTGATCCAATTCATTGGATTCTTGGGTTCTTACACCAACAATTCTATCGTTTGATCACCGCAGGACCGTGGTCGTCACAATTGGACGACTGCAGAGTCCAATTCCATATACACTCCATGGGACTGGAATAGATGCCTACATTGACCCCCCAAACCACCCCAATGTAGGTATATACATACGGCAGTCCCATGGAGCGTCTGGGTATTGAATCACCACCTCGACCATATCCTCTTCTTTTTGGTGTTTCAGTGGCCTACGGCGTTTGCACGGCCGGCGGAGCGGCGTAAGTCGGCCGTTGATCTGTCCTTCCAGATGAGGATCTCCAGCAGTCTTAAGGTCTGCCCCACCTGCTGCTCCTTGTGCATGTCAGGATCTTTCTTCAGCAAAACCTCGAGCAATGCTCAGCAAGGTTTTCGCAGATAAGTCTGCAAGTCGCCAAAAACGTGTATGCCAATGGGAAAATATGGGAAAACAACATAATATGATGATCAGCAAAAGGATGAACAACATAATAAGACGAGTTCGCCCCAGCAAGACAACGAATTCACCGTGTTCCATCGGTCCCATCGGTCCCACCGCGTTCCACACCGTGACACCATCTGTGCCGATTCCACACACCACCGTGCTCTACACATCGGAACGACGTCGAAGAGACTCCGCTGGTCTTCCTCCGCTCAGGGAGCTTCACCTTGCCTGACTTTGTCTTCCTCAGGATCGGTTCGGATGAACGCCGGGGAAGTGCTCAGGTTCCGTGAAAAGCATGTGGATGGATTCCAGGATGATGATGATGATGATGATGATGATGGTTTGAGGGACTGACTGGACCCAGTAGAAAATTCAAACTTGAAGGATGGAATGGTGGGATTCGCTTGAACCGGCCACCCTCATTGCTACCACTGGCAGGTTGTATTTCCCGAAGAAGCTTGGCACCTGAAACGTCCCACAAACCCTTCAGGTCCAGGGCTTCGGAACCGGTGGACCAGGTCCGGGGCTTCGGACATCACCAGCTGGGCGACGAGATGGACCAGGTTGGGACTCATTTCTGAATCTCTTCCCAAACCTGACCGAAATTCATCTACTGCAAGCCGAACCTGACCAAAACACTCAACGAGTCAACATTGCAGTCTCAGCTGACATCGAACAAAATCGTTGCCGCAGTTGTTGAGCTGAGTATCCCTACAGCTTCCCATCACCTTCCTTATTAATTAATATATGGTATTCCGGCGGTATTCCCTAGACTTCCAGGCTTTACCACATCAACTAAGGATTTTCCACTACAAAGACCAGGTCAACAATTTGTGTTCTTGGTCTTGGAAGTCTAGGGTATAGTCATAGTCTAGTAGCTTTGGAGTTTCCTTGTTTGATACTCAAAAGGCCCCCAGCGTCACCTGATCAGTTCAAGCCTCCCCCGCGAGGGCTCGTCCCGATAGCGGCAGCGCACGATCAACGGAGCCGACTTGCTCTCTGCCTCATCGATGTGCCACACACAGGACGGCGGGTCTGAGACAGACTGCATATGCCAACAAAGGAGGGAACACATCGTCAACACAGAATCAGCAACTGCCTGTTGATGGCACCCTTTGTGAAACTTCCCTATGGATCCACTGCCACCGAACCTGAGGTACGGCGAGCAGGGAAACTATTTATGTGGGCACCAGGACGGCCCAGCTGTACTGAAGTCGAGAAGGTGACAGTAGATCCCCAAAAGGCATACGGGGAGATTGGATGGTTTGGAGAGTATGACCTCCGCAGCTTTCCAGGATGACCCAGGATGACCCAGGTGAATCCTTTTGAGGATCCGTATTTCTAGGTGATGTGCAGAAGGGCTTCCTTGGGGCAAAAGGACCATCCGGGTCTTAGGGGTTTGTGTTCTTGGAGCCTCAAATCATGTGCCAAGCTTCTCTACCCTTCCTTCCAATTTCCTGTGCCAAGCATGGTCCAACCACCTCAGAAAAGCTCCAAACCAGGCTTCCTGTCTCACCCCTTTCGTATCTTTCGTCCCGTCCGTCCCGTCTCAGCAGCTCCATCCCATCCCATCCGCTCCCATCCCATCCCATCCGCCTTCCGCGGCGCCGTCTCAAGTCCGGCGCAGGTGCGATACGGAGGCCAAACGGCCAAGGGAAAGCTTCGGTCCTCACCCCACCTGCCGGTCGCGGCTTTTTCGGGTTTGGGGTCGTTGATGGGAGTTGAAAGTCCAAAAGCAGGTTAAAGCAGCGAAGCATAGACCTGAAAAGAAAGAGCTGAAAACTAGTATATAACTAGTCACTAGTCCAAAGTGAAGCATATAGTGAAGCATAGTCCAAAGCCAAACATCTCAAAGATCCACTTTCTTGGTGAGCTCCGCCAAGAAAGACTTCTGCTTGTTTGCTTGGGTCGTCCCTTCTCGTAAAAATCAAGAAGTTGACCAGATTGATGAGTGGGACATGATTGCCATAGATCTTTCCTGGATGAACCAAGCATCCATGTACCAGAAATTTCCAACAGGTGGTTTTGATACCCGCCCACAGGTGGTTTCTGGGCATCTCGTGTCACCAGGAAGTACCTCTTGGAAGGTGCAAGTAAATGCATTCTTTGATATTCTTTGTAGGTCCAAATACGAAAGCCATACCTACAAGTTGTCAAATTGGCTGGCTGCTTGGTGTGTTTGGCCCCAAGAGCTTGTGCTGCAAAACTTGGTTTGGATCTGCAAGCTACACTTCGAAGCTGTACACATCCTCTTGATGGCAATTCTGTGAAGGTGGGTAGTGGATAACTGCTGAAATGCGGTTCTACAACAAATGCACAAGCTGACCAATACATGATCAGGATCATTGAACAAATCACCGCCTGTGTGTGAACCTCATTCTCCTCCAGTCTGGATCCAATATGTTCTTGATTGTTCTTGTGTTTCACACCATCCCAAGCTGTTTAGTCTGACTGGTGCTTAGTAGGGAATGGGGGAATAGAGCCATTCCCTCATAATTACCCTTTCAGAATACCAGTTTAACTCGTTTGGTGACACTCCATGTACGGAACAATTGCATTGGATCACGGAATACTTCCATTATACATTTACCGTACCCCATGTTCATATTGCTGGGTTTCACAACTCGACTCTCCGATTTATAAAGTCCCAGGCACGCCGGCTCATGCTTGCAGCACTCATAATCTCCACGCTCCATATGTCTCACCCAGGCGTGCTGTCGCAACAATCCCAGCTCCGCCTCCTGCAACTCGCCCAGGCGACGCGAGGCGACGGTCGCGCGCGGAGGGGTCGGTCGCGGAGGATGCGGAGGATGCTGGGGGGTTTCCCCGTCTCGCCGGTCTCGACAGCGGTGGCAGAAGAAGTGGTGGCACACAACTTAAGGCGAACTCGGAGGCCAGGCTGGCGTGCGTTGCGCCAAGTGGCCAAACAATTATAACACCAGAATCAGAACCAACGACATGGGATGATGCAATGGCCCTGGATGGCCCAAGCTGTAGACCCTGCTGAACTGCTGGAGATCCCACTTTGCAGTCAACTGACCCACGTGCACAGCCGACGGCTCGGCTTCGCGGTCCTGGGGCAGATTCCGGAGAAGCTCTTGTTGCGCCAAGGACTGCCATGACTCTGCATAGGGTGCGCTGCCATGGTTTTCCTCCAAATGAAGCAAAAACGGGTCCAACATGGTCTAACTGGGTACATCAATGGTTTTACCCACCCTGTGCAAGCAAAACTCCAGTTCCACCTGCCACAGGTGTTCCTGGTATAATCATTAATGATTCATGCGATCAAACATAGGGCTGGGCGAAGAAGGGACACCAAACATATGGAGCAAACCAAACATGATCAACCATGTTTTAGAGACATCCAAATGTACTCCACAAGACGTTAAATAAGATAGGGTGAGTGACGGTGAGCATTGGATACAACAAATCTCGTCAACAAAGATCTTGAACAACACATAATTATGCATACAGATTGTATCTGCAATGATATGTCCCAGAGTACACAGAGCAGGTACACCTAGCCTATATACCTCTCTGAACAATTCGGGCAAGTGGGTTTTCCTGGCACAAGGAAGACTTGCTACATCATCTCCTCCTCAAATCGCTTGTGTTTTGCAAAAAGAAACCGCTGCCCAGCGGTTTCAAATCGTTTGAAACATATTGAGAATACTTGAGAATCCATATGAGAGCCCAAGTACAGGTTGAACCCGTAACATCACCATCTCTCTGTGTACTCTGTAGTCCAATTAAGACATTCTTTGATTCAATCAACCATCTCTATAACCATCTCCATCACCATCTCGGTCATCTCTGAAACCACTTCCGCCCCGTCGACCAATGGCCAGGGGTCGATTCCGCGCTGTCGATAGTGGGCGAGTGCCTGGACACGTGTTTCCAGCGCCCAGAAATACCTGCGGACGCGGCGCGCGGGCTCCCACCCGACCGCCATCGAAAAGCGACCCGAAGCAGCCGGGTTCGCACCATGTGATGTTGGGGATCTGACCAATTGATGATAAAGATGCTGCGGAAATAGTTCATGGAATTTAAAGTATCGGATAGATGTACTATATTTCTCTCTGCTCTGGGAAAATGGATCCCTTTCAACTTTCACCAGTTGGTGTACGGGCTACAGGTTGGTTCAGGGCCATAGGGATGCACCCCAGCAGCCACTGGAAAGGACGAATTATAGCAGCCACTGGTGCGGGTCCTTAGGTCTTGTTTCTGTTGAGACACATCCAAATAAAGAACAACAACACTGTTTGCACAATACCAACTTTGTAGTTGGTCGTGTGTAGGTTCCCTTTTCGAACAATTGGGGAAGCCAAACGCACCACAAATGACTCTTGAGCGAAGCCGAGGCAAACCCTGGAAAAGTCTGTTGAGCGGTAGTGCGTCATCCATTTAGTAATCCAACCCTGTGTCCAAAATGGGATGACAAACCGACAACCTGGTAGTTCACAAGAATATAACAGAATTAGTGAGATCGAATGGGATGATGTTCACAGAGATTCAATATACAGTATGTCAATAAGAATGCTGGTGGTGCTCGACCAGTCTTGAATCCACCAAACAGTCAATTCAAACCAAGCTACTCATTGCGAAAGGCCCTGGCTGCCATGCTCTCCTTAGATTCCACCAGGTTGCCCTAAACAACACTTTGGTGAAGGCTTTGATATTGGACGGATCTAAGCGATGATGGACTGTTGCAAGTACTGGTTGGGGCAAAGCATGCTGCATTACCACAGCGAAAACAAAGGAAGGAGAAAAGGTCTATCTATATATATATATATAATTCTAAGAGTCTAAAGAAACAAAAGAGCCAAACCAAATCATCTGCTCAGCCGTGCGCTACATCGACAAATCGCTCAGGAAGCCCCAGTTCAACGGCTAAGTCAAACGCTTCCCAGAACAAGGAACTTACTTTGGCCTCTCTGAAAGAAGAGGTGGAACCCAAACGCTCCAAGATGGTTTTCCTTTACAAAGGAGTTCCACTCAGCTTCTCACAATTGGTCAAGAGAGGCTCTTGGGGAACAAGCCTCTTCACATCTGCTCAGGACCGGTGTTTCAGCCAGGTGGCCTGTGCTGTTTGGTGCCTCAAGGCGCTCAGGACCGCCCGACAGCCGCCTTGACAGTCGCTATTGGCAAATTCTTGAGCAGTGTCCAAGAGGAGCTCCAGGCAGCAGGTGATCTCCGTAGGATTCAACGCCTCGTTGGGTTCTTTGATCCGAAGCAGCCAACGAGCGACGACAACAGCGACAACAGTCGGCAAACACATGGCCGGCCGCCCGAACACGGCTCTCAAACAAGACTCAAATCATCTCAAACCACACTTTGGAAACTGGGCCACCCTCAGTTAAGAACCGAACTAACTCCAATCTGGCTAAACTGGGCGACCCTGAGTTGAGAAGCACCTCCAAACAGCAGCTCGAGTTTTTCACCTCTCCCACACACGATGATTCGGCTGCCTTGAGTGCTTCGGCCGCATGCACCGCAGCCAGCCCCACCTTCCGCTCCCCACCGGCACCCAGCCTGGGCCGAGTTGATGTTCGGTGTCCGTGTAGGGTGAGGTTGTAAGACCTAGGATTGAATAGGTACAAGTATGCCAACGTTGGCCTAGTTACCTTCCCTCCAACAAACCTGGAAGTGGACAACCTCCTGCTAGTTGCGGAACATCGTCTTCCCACTGCCCATGCCATCTCCCACACGCTCTTTGGAGAAATGGATCGTCCGAGTGCAGACGTGATGGAGACTGTTGATAGTTGGAGATGTAAGACCATTGTGGACATGCATGTTATACGACAGTGAATGTTATAACATTTGTATAACCTAACCATAGGGGTTATTGACGGTATTGTTGAGTCTAGTCAAACATCCAACCCGCAACCCATATGGGATTGTTGACACACCACCGGTAGAATACATCGGGCATCGCCGGGGATTCAAGCCGCGCAGGAAGGTCATGGTAAGATCGGATCAAGCAGTGGTCGTGCCAGATCTATCCCTATAGTAAGTAGGGCTCCAACCATATTCCTCAGAAGATGGTTAGACCCCCCAACCCACCCCAACCATCTTCTCAGGAGGTAGTTGGAGCCCTAGGCTATTAGTATGTTGGGTTGGTCTTCGCACGCCGGTGATCAATCACTCACATGCGACGCACGTCCACCTCACGTCCACGTTCCACTTCAAAGACCCAAGTGAAGGTGCAATCTGATCAGTTCTGATTCTCCAGAACATGTTGAAACCACCAGACATGCAGAGTCCTTTTTGATGCCTTGAGAACGGACAAAACATCTGAAACAGTCTGTTTCACCCTAAACCGGTCAACGAATTGAACCAACAGATCCACAGATCTTCGTTCGATCCACAGATCCCATCGATCCGTACGCTCTGCACAAGCTCGCAACTTCGTCTTCGTCTTCGATCGATGATCGATCAGGGTGGATCATGGAGGGCCATGAACATCTCCACTCACTGGTGTTTACAGTAATGTTTAAAATAAGAACTCCATCTGTGATTTATAAAGTAGACGCTTGATGAATAACCACCCCATTGAACAACCTCTTCAGGCCTGGGGGTGGAAATATCCAGATTCTACATTAAGAACCCCCTTGAGTGACTCGATCTTTCGATCACCAACTGGCGAAAGAAAAGCAAACGGCTCGATCTCACGGGGAGTGTGGAAAGAGCTGGAAAAAACACAGAGATGACGCAATTCCACCCAGTCATGGTTCCTTTCGGAAGAAACCCCAGTCAGCAAATACCATCCCAAAAGCTCCACCACTTCACCACCACCAAACCCCTCTCTTGCGGTCCGCCCCAAAACCCTTCCGCGGACTCCAGCTTCCCCCCGCTGGTCCGCCCGGAGTCCGCTGGTCTGGCTTCGTCTTTCCGTTGCGTCCAGGGCACAGCTTGCACGCGGGCCCAGCGGAGCGGCCCAGCAAGGACAAGATCTGCAAGGCCTCCCAGCCTGTCCGGTCTGGTGAGCACGAGGTCGGTCCGGTGGGGACGGAACCCGAGGCGGAACTGGACAAAGAACATGGAAGTGCTATAGTGATTCACCATAGACTCCCTCACCGGAATCACAGTCCCAAAATTGAAACCCCCAATAAAACACTGACTCACTTAAGAATGTTCTATATATATACCCTTGCTGTGATCAGTCCTCTATCGTTTGACTAAAGGCCACTGGTAGATGTTCCTAAAGGAAGGGTGACCAGCTGGCCACACAGGGTTCTGAACTGATCAGGAATCCAAGTTGCACCTCCAGACCAATCAGTCCAAATCGGGCAAAGATTCAACGGTTTTTATTCATGGCCGGAGACATCGACTCCAAATGGATCTGTTCAATTCCATCAATGGAAGTTCCTGAAGCTTACGAAGCATCAACACATTAAAGAAAAGCTAGCTCTTTTCATGGAGCGACAAAACTCCAAAAAGTGTTCGTTTCTTTGGTTCGCCAGTATAAAAAGTGCTACGATTGAATGTTCAAGTCGGGATGCAATTAGCTAACTCACTTCTCACTGTCTTGCTTCCGACCACGAGTGCCTGCGAGAGAGGCATGAACCTTCGCCTTGAATGGGGCGGGGACGGCAGGGTGACCGACGACTGATTTTGGATTGAGAAAGGGGAAGCAACATGGAGCAACACCATGCGTAGGTTACAAGTGTCATCCAAATGCACCAGGGCAACATCAGCCTGTCAAAAGGCAGCATCACTCCTCACCAGGGAAGGTCATGTTGGCTTGACTGGCTTCTGGTCCAAATATACCCTGCGGCCCTACTTGAGGGCCGCAGGCGTAGTCTTGACAAGTCCAAATCGGTCTGACTCTTTCGACGGGGTCGGGTTTTTCCAGTGATGACCCTGAAGGCACAGAAGAGATCTCAGGCTTAAACAAAATTAAAACATGGATCATCTTGAATGACTTGGCAATTGCTTTCTTCCGATCATGTCTATCTTCGATGAGGTGCTTCAACGGTTGTTCACCGGATATGATGTGCCTGCTTGGGAAGTCGGTTGAACCATGACAATGTCTGCCCAATCTTCCAGGTGGCACCAAACAACAACGTAAACCAATGAACTATAGTCTATAGATGTCTATAGTCACGAATGATATCGACACTCATGTCGCGCACCAGCATCAAACCCGCACCAGCTTTGTTTGTGTCAAGATGTCACTCCTGTTGGGCCACACCCTGCTGTTGTGTTTGAGAGTCAGCCCCATGGGCCCCATAACCCCTGTCAAAGGATGAAAGTTTGGGGAGGTCTTCATTCAGCATTGCACTTATTTATATCCCCCTTCCACACCCATCACCCATGTAATTATAGGATTGTGGGGTCACTATAATGTCGGATATATATTATATATGGATAAGTTAGAGAAACCCATTTCATCACATTCAATGATACTAATTCTTCTATCTTATCCTTGAGGTCACCCCACTTGCCGAACCTCACGTTCCCGAACGTCTTTCCCGAACCCGTCCGGTTCACCACGGATTTGGTGAACCCAATTCCGACCAATCCCGAGTGTTTCATCAAGAGCCTTTGGGCTAATACAGAGTGTTACAATGGGTCCCGGTTTTTTTTTGAGTCTACCTGGGCCCAGTGGATGATGATGGTTAAAGGATGTTTAAAAAAAGGCCTTGTCACAAAATGATGATAATTGTTAATGACTGTTACAGGTAATGGGACAGACCCTAACTATGGGCCTATAAACACTTTGAGATCAGACCTCAACATACCTCAACTCTTGGGGCACTCCCACTTGCTCCGACCAAGGGACTAAAAGATCGAGACAAAGGGTGGTCTCCTCCTTCGTCCATTGAGTCTGACGAAAGAGCTGCGTTAACCTCAGGAGTTCCAGCTGCGCTGTGCATGAGAAGTCGGTTTTTACTCGTTGTTAATGGCGTCGTTTCAGTGGTCGAACACTGCCATGGTGAAATGAGATATCTCCTGACCCCATGGACCCGGACCTGAACCGTTGGACCCATTCATCCTCCCTTCAACTCATTCACATCGAGCCGTCGGACTCGTCGACCACGCTTCCCACCCGCTCGGCCCACGCCGACCCCTCTCGGGTGTCCAGACCAGCCCACGTCTTGCTCCACCAGCTCCGGCGCGAGACTCCAGACCTCAAGGGCACATGCGGGAACGCCAGACACAGGCTCTGAAGAGCTCGACGCCGGACGTTGGGAAGGCGATGTCATCCAGCAGCTCGCCACCCCAGTCCAAGGCCCAAACAGCAGGTGTTTTTGGACTCCAGCCCACCCACACGGCCTCGCCGTGTCCAGCATCGCGCCGTGTCCATCGCACCAAGTAGCCCATTCCTTCTCAGCCTCACTCCAGTTCCGCGAGCCGTGCCGCAACTGCTCCAGCAGCCGCAGCAGCAGTGCGCGGGCAGCGCTGCGGACTAAGGGAAACGGAATGCCCTGCAGGGACCAATGGACCGATGAGTTGTCAGGCCCTGTGGGGAGAGGGAGTTTAGTGGCTCGGTCAATTCATGAGCCACTTGGAATAACTGCACTACACCTTAAGGGAGCTAGATGTACGCCAGTTGCACAAAGATCCAAAGGAATCCAAGCAGTTGTAGGTCTGGTCGTGATGTTTTTTGTTCAGAACAAAGAGAACAAGTTCATCTGGTCGACAAATCATCAGTCTATGTTAACATAATTATGATATGTATACAGTGCTTTCAAAGTACAGTAGATGGCATGGGGCCCCCAAGATATCTTTTAGACGGGACCAATATATAAACCACCGAACTTAGGGATTATGCCATCTACTCTCAATGCACTAAATTATTCCAAAAAACAAACAGAATCACGAGGGATCCTCCTTTTCTGATACAAACTCATGTATACCCATAGCCTCATGGTGTATCATTGAAACTATCTCTACGTAGAATCGCTACCAAGATCCAGGTCTATGACTCCCGCGTACAGTATCTCCTCGACCTCGAGCATCTCCTCTTCGGGCTTCAGCACGGTGGCCTCGCGAGACAGAAAAACAGAAAACGGACGGATTGTTTGCATGTGGTCTGCTGCTGCCGATGATGATTATTGTATATTACTAGTATGTACATTCTGTAGTACTAGAATTGTTACTCACGTTACTGATGCCCTTTACTATTGTGATGATGAAGAGGATGCGGAGGAGGAGGAGGACGAGGAGGAGGAGGAGGAGGAGGGTGATGATGATGAGGAGAATGAGCATGAGGGGAAGAAGGAATGGGAGGATGCAGGCAAGAGCCAGGATGAGGAAGAAGAGGGTACTTGCTTTTGTTGCCAAGAATCTCCGAAATCACTTGGACTAAACAGTATTGAAACATATTGAAACATGGACGTCAAAGTTGTTAAAGGATCAGTAAAACTCTTGTGACCAGGCAACTCTTGTGCACAAAGAGAGGCCCACTGGACAAGATGAATGAATGGATTCCGCTGAGTTGTCCTCGCTCAAACAAACATGGCCGCAACACGGTGGAACAAAAAATACAAATAAAACAGGTCGTCCAAGCTCCTTCTCGACCCAAGCAGCTCTGCTAGCTCGAAGCCGTGGTTTGATCCAGTGAGGCAGCTTCCCCCTAACTGCTCACCGCACGTGGCACAGAAAAAATAAACAGCTGCACCTTCATCATCTGTACTTCCAGCGCCAAGTGCTGTGGCTCGAAACCCTTTTCACCCAAGGGCAGCCGTTGGTGACACGAGCTGCACAGGAAGACCTGGAGCGGACGCTTCCCACTCGTCACTCGACCGTGGGTGGTGTTTGGGGCACCCAACTCCTTCCTCGCACCGGCACCCCGTCGAACGTGACCGGGACCGGCACCAGACTCAGAGCTTTTGTTCTCCTTTCTCAGTGATTGGTCGCGCCAGTCGTTATGATTTCAGATTCTCCTTGAGTCAGATCCAAGACCTCAACCTCACGGCGCCCACCCGCGCCCACCCGTGGTCCTCGCGCCGGACCGCGTTCCGTCGTGCCGGTCGTCCTTCCCGCCTGACCGGGCTTGGGCAGGTGGGTCTCCAGGAGCGGCGTGCCGTTCCCGAAGTAGTTCACGTACCAGGGACCTCCAGGCCGATCCCGGCGCCGAAAGGAGGAACAGGGCCCTGGAAGGGCTTCCGGTCGTTCCCAACATGGTTTCCAGCAAAAAAAGAGTTGAAAACTACCTGGTAGACTGGTTGTAGAGGAAAGTTGTCTTCCAAAGGTCCATGAAAGGTGGTCGTTTTTTGGTTCACCAGTTGAAGAAACATCCGAGTCAGTGAAAAATTGGATCATCCCATGAGAATATCTGAAACCACCACATGGCACGCCAAACAGCCACCTTTGATGCCTCCAGGAAATGCTTTAGATGTCTATATGAGAAACAACCTCCAGGAACAATCTTTGTTCCTGGAGGTTGACTGTGTTTGACGTCCATGAGAAACTGTAATTCATTACTGTTTGCCCAACACTATGAAGCTTATGAAGAACAGTCCAGCCAGTTCCCTCAAAACTGCTTAATGGCGTCCAGAACATCCACTGGGCTGAGGTGTTCACTCCCCGACACCGAACTGAGGTGATCACTCTCGGATCTGCTCAAGATGAAATCAAATGAAACTATAAACATATGTTTAACAAACATCAGATGTTGGTGATTCATCCAGTTTGGGACAATAGAAATCAAAACAACTATTGAGACTTCTGTTGTCTCACCTTTTCTCCGCACAAACCCAGAACTGCGGGTTCTAGCTTTTGGACCCGTCACAGCATACAGACTTCTAGACATGGGATCGAATTCGAGCGGGTCTGGAGCTGGGCTCGCTGTAAAAACCTCAAACTGGTTGTGAAAGGAACACAGCAAGGCAAACTTTGGGTTCACGGATTGACATGAATGTTGTTTTGTTTCCCCAAACAACGGGGAAATCGTTGGGAAGTAGTAAGCCGCCCCTCCCGGCCCCGTCCAAACCATGCAAACAACTTGTACGCCAAAGGTTTGGGGGCCAATACCGGGTATACTACATGTGGAGTCTCATCCATGGGAGGACACCCCGTGGGTTTTATCTAGCTCAAAATTTCTGGAACCAGGTGTGTGGAACATCCAACAATACTACAGTATATAGGAGTGGACGTTTTGTGGAGGGATTCACCAAAACTCATTTCATTGGGTTCGTGAATTCAGTTTTTTGTGTGTTTGTGCGCTGAAAAACAACCCTGGTGGCCCTGGTGATCTTTCAGGGAAGACTTGCCATGTATGCCTGTTGTTTAAGGTCGTCCATGCATCAGGTGTGACAACCCGGACTTCCCATGTGTTAATCAAGTGTTACCTGCCCAAACAATCCATGTATGAAATCATGTTGCATACATATACCCCATCATAGATTTAATGTAGATAACTTTAACCATTTACATGGTCAAGAGAACATCTTGTGTTCTTTTACCCTCCCGATGTCAACTCACATGGACCCTGACGTCCTAGCTCCGAAGATGGTTTTTCCTCTAGCAACCAGTGGTTTTTCCATGTGGACCTCTTCCAGGGTGTACCAGAATTTCTACTGAAACATCTGGCACGCCTCCACTCTGAGGGCCTCCCAAGGACTCCGTCCGTTTTGCATACGGTCGGCATCGTAGATGCGTTGCATCGAAGATCCGTGGGCTCTACGCGCGCTCCGACAACAAGAAGCGGTCATCATGAATGAGTGGTGTGACATTGAAAGCCTTTACTACTCCATTCCGTCTTCCAACGATCCAAGTACACCAGAATCAGAAAACCGCTGCTGACACCCGCTGCTTTCCAAGAACGACTTCGCACCCCCAGACCACTCTTCGCGCTCAGACCGCTCGTGGCCGACGCATGCCGCGCCGCATGCCGCGCCGCATGCCGCGCCTTTTAAATGCCGTGGGCAAAAGAAGAAGCCGCAGCCACTGCAGCGAGACTTCTCGTTGGGCCCAAAGAGGCGGCTGCAAGAGGAGTCAAGGCATCCTGAGATGCACCGCGCGCTGGTCGGTTGGAGTCGGGCGGAGTCGTTGATCGATGAAGGTCGTCAGGACGTCAGGACGCCGCAAAGGAAAACAAGTCTGACTGATAGATATTGATAGGCAAAAAAGGTTCCAACATGTTCCAACAAGGCAGGCATGTGGTGTCTACTATACTATTGTCCAAACAACGATATATGGAATGTGTTTGGAGCCACAACTATGGCCCGCTCCAATTGACGTCTTCCAATCCAGCATCTAAAATGAAGAGTAAACAACTGATATAGACTGATTTAGAGCAAACGGGTGGACAACGTGCGACCGAACCTCAAAAACTCGACTGCATGGGTAAGTAGTGCCAAAATTCCTTCTTGAAACACCAAGGAACACATTTCCAGTGAGTCAACCCCCCCAAAACAGGACAACAACATCCCGGGGGCGGTCCGTGCATCGCGCGGTCCGCACAGCGCGCGGTCACCGCAAAGTCAGCTCGGCCGGGAGTCCCATGATCAGATCCTCGGGCACTCCATCCGAACGCGCCTCACAGGCGCCGACAGGTTCGCGAGATCTCGAGGAATCCAGGATCCGGCTGCTTGGTAGTGGTAGCTGACCATAGAGACAGAAGTGCCAAGAGACCACTATAAGAAAAAGGACATGACATATACAAATTTTCCAAATGCCTGCTAGCTAGTATCAGTAAGTGTGTTGTTTTCTGTGAACAGTGAATCGGTGACACTACATTCATAAGGAAGCAGTGGTGACAACAACGAAGACACAGTGTAGACTTTCGAAGTTCATTCTTGTAGATACTAAATGCAACCATGTGCCAATTGGAGCAGTGGTATGCACGTCCCGAAAGCAGGTGACAAAAGCGTTATAAAGGCCATCAATTGAATCATATTGAATCTGTCGATATTCATATATATGTGGAATTGTTCAGCTGATTGACAGCTTCATGCATTGAGGGATGTTGAGGGTGGGGGGTTTTCCAAGCCAAACTACGAAGATTGGATAAAATATATATTCTCTGGTACTTCGGACTCGGCCCATCTCAGACCTCTGGCGTTCATGTCGTTCTCCCGAAAAAGCGCATCGATCGCAGGTCAACGATGGAGCCACGAGAAAGCCGCCTTATCGAGGTGGGAGCCACTCTCGCTAAAGGAGGAGGATCGGCTGCATTTGGAAGTGGCAGTTGCTACGACTTCCCATCCTGGGCGAAATCTGCGAGATCTGCAGCGCCAACCACTCGATGGCGGTCTCACCCATGCTGGTACATGGTTCAATGATGTTCAATGATTTGTATGCCAAAGCCAGGACAAAAAGCCAACCATGAGACATACCACCGAGTATTGACATTCAGTGACCCCTGCATACCTCTGCAAGCCGGCAATTACCCAAAGTACATGGAGTGAAGGCGCGCCAGGATGGCGCCAGGATGGGTTCCTGGGAACGAATCATGTTCGGGGAACACATGAGCCTCCGACTCAAGTGGAAAATGGATCAACGTGGTCCACCGTGGTCCGTTGGATATCCTGGATGACGCTTTTCCTCTACAAACAAACAGGTTGTTTTCCACTTCCATGTTGCTTAGATGGGCCTGGGCTTTGCTAGTGTGTTAAGACTTTAAGTGACTTTATTAACAAAGTAGTATCTGATTAGTACCTCTGTAATAAGATGATATAACAAGTTATAACGGTGGTACTCAACTGTAAGTTAATATGACACTTATATAAAGTTTGCCTAACATCATTAATGAAGTTAAAGGAAATTATGAATGTTGTTTGTTTTATGTAAACATTAGCTAAGTTTCTTTAGCTATGTTAGGCCTATTAGCTAATAGTTAGCTAAACTAGCTAACCTACAAAAATGTCGATTTTTCTTTCTTCAAATTTCAACAACAAATCCAAAAAAACAGCAACTTATACATGTGTGGTGGAACATGTTGCAGCGTTACAAATTGAAATGATGGTAAAAATCGACCACAAATGTTTGTCAAAACTGTTTGGGATACATGTGTTCTGTTTTCAGACAAGCAAACTTGTGGTTTGCTGAGAGAGCAAAGAAATGCCACAGCTTGTGCAAGCTAATCTTTTGGCATGCCTTGCTATGTTGAAAATGTTCCAGCTCTGCAAAGCTTGTGTTTGGAAGCATTGAGCATGCACATGCTGTTGGATGTGCAGCTTGTGAAGGCTTCCTGTGGCACTTTGAATGCCAGGTGATGTGCAGCTTGTGAAGGCTTTTTGTGGCACTTTGAATGCCAGGTGATGTGCAGCTTGTGAAGGCTTCCTGTGGCACTTTGAATGCCAGGTGATGTGCAGCTTGTGAAGGCTTCCTGTGGCACTTTGAACGCCAGGTGTCAGCTTGAATCAGTTTTGTTTGGGAAGTTGAAACCTAGTAAAAGCATGTGCGTTGCTGTTTTTCACAGAACAAAAGCATGAAGTGCAGCAAGCAGGTTGCAAGGCAGCAAAGACATGAACACACAGGACAACACCTGAACACAAGACATCAAACGATAGACTGGTTGAGGCACTTGGCCTTGCTTTGTTTGCAATGGAGCCAAGCTTGCAAAGAGCTTTGGAAGGTGTGAGGGATGATGAGAATTTGGCCATCAACCTCAAGCTGAGCAAGGTGTGCCAGCTGTTGTCTGAGAATGGGCTCTTGTATGAGCAACACTTGGCACCCTCATGCCTGACAGTGCACCCACAGAGCAGAAGTGGGTTGATGTTGAATAATGCTTTTGATGTGCATGAGAAAGGGCTGCTGGCTTTAAAGATGGGATTCCAAGGGAGCAAAGTGGCTGAATCATTTTGCTTTGAACTGAGCAGCAAGAAAGAAGAAAGGGACAAGCAAGTGGGTGCTATGAGGGCTCTTGTCACAGCTTCAGAGAGGAAGTTGGCACCAGTGAATGGTACTGAGAGGTTCATGAGTGTATCATGCTCCCACATCAGCCAGTTTCTCAAAGCTGTTGGGTGTGGTCAGTGTGTGACAGAGAATGAAGAACTAGGTGAAAGCTTCCTGACAGTGGAGACCTTGGAAGCACAGTTCCCTTCAGATCACCATTTTCAATCAATGGTGAGGAATGGATGGCAGTGGCATTGCATCAAGAGTGAAGTGGAGGAGTGCTGCCCATGGATGCCACAGCTGCTTCAGGCAGCCTTGAACAGTGGAAATGAAATTTCCAAACAATCCACAGAAATGGAGATTGCCTTGAGTCTGGCCTACACTTACAAGACATCTGCCAGCATGGAGAATGCTTGTGCTGTGGTGAAAGCAGCCACAAGCTTGGGCTATGTGGATGCAATCAGCAAATGGGTGAGGCTGTATGCAGGAGGTGATGACTTCCCCCTGGTTCACCTCTTGGCTTCAATCCAGAAGCTGTTCAACAGCAGCCACTTCTTGGGTGAAGAATTCATGGGCAGTGTTGCAATGGCAACATTCAAGCCCAGAGAAACCACTTACCCAATGGTCAGAGCTGCTATGAGGTGAAGCCTTCTCCCAGTATGGCTGGACATGGGAAGCCTGCAGTGGAGGAAAAGCAGGAGGTGAAGATGGATGAGGTGAAGCCTTCTACCAGTATGGCTGGGAATGTGAAGCCTGCAGTGGAGGAAAAGGAGGAAATGAAGATGGGTGGGGTGAAGCCTTCTCCCAATACTGATGGGGGTAAGAAGACCTCAGTGGATCACTAGAATAAGGCTGAGGTGAAGATGGATGAGGTGAAGCCTTCTCCCAGTGCAATTGGGAATGAGCAGAAGCAGTACCCTCCAGCAAAGAAACCACCTGTGCCACCACCAATTATGATGCCAACAGCCAAGGTGAAGCAGGACAGTTGAGATTTCGGAAGCTGAGTATGTGGATGGCCTGTAGAGGCTTAAACTGCAGCTGATATAGGCTTAGTGGTGTAGCCTCTATAGGCTCAACCCAGCCCCTACAGGCTCAACCCAGCCTTTACAGGCTAACCTTTTTGTGAACTAAGGCTTTGCTATTGCAATACATTTTATGTTTATGCATTTGTTCACACAACCTGCAGGAACCCTCCAACAAGGACAAGAATGTGAAGGATGAGTACCTGCTATGGGAGGAAGGTATGGATGCTGGATGGGCACAGGACCAAATCAACATGTGCGATCAACAAATAAACAAATCTTAGAGTACAGTGTATTGACTTCTGATGTGTATAATTGTTATCAGTGTTGATTCAACACCTGCAGGATGGAAATGGTGAGTGGGCATGGTGGGAGAAGGATCTACATCAGGAGAACTTATGGTGGTGGGTGAAGAATGGCCCCTGGCATCGGTTCAAGGTTCAGGTTCATGATGACTATGGACCAACTGGAGGTGGATGGATGGCAAAGGCACTTGCACTATGCCACATGCACTACAAGAAGGAGAATGAATGCCTGAAGTATTCATTGGAGAAGCTAGCATGCCATCCAAGCATCACAAAGTGCTGGAACAAAATCCAAGCAGGGTATGATGTGAAAGGAATAAAGATTTATGGCCAGTACATTTGATGTGCACAGACACTGGCCTTTGAAATGAGTGCATTGGAGATGCACTGACTGCACAGTGGATGTACAGTGACTTGCGCACAACAGCTGCGACTGGAAATGAAAAAAAGCAATTGTATGCCAAGTGTAGCCTATATAGGCTTTCACTCTAGTTTGCACAGACTGAGACCTAGCCTGTACAGGCTCAAAAAACAGTCAAAACCTAGCCTGTACAGGCTCAAAAACAGTCAAAACCTAGCCTGTACAGGCTCAAAAACAGCCAAAACAGCCTGTACAGGCTTCTTTGGTATCTGTATTTGATTTTAGTTTTCTAAAATCAAATACGACAAAATTGTATT